GAGAAATCCCAGAGCCGAATGCCAGAGAAGAAATGACAGTTGTTCAGCAAAGCAGGGGTGGAAGTGTGTTCTTGACCCAGGGAACAGTGTGAGCAGAGCTCAGAGTTTCCAAGGGGTGGGGCTAGGAAGTGGTGGGAGATTCCTTCCACAAGTATTAATTAAGCACCTAATGCCAGGCCCTGTTCCAGGGGCTGGGAATTCTGTGCTGAATGAGACACACAAGCCTCTGCTTCCATTGAGCCTGCACATTAGTCCAGGGAGTCCGACACAAACAAATTCAGCATATACTACTACTGTATCATGATAAGTTCATGAGAACAATAAAATACCAGTGAAGGCTGAGGTGAGGATAGAATCTTCTGCAGAACATGCTGATGAGATCTAGGCAAGGGCAGGACTGCTGGGAATGCAGAGATGCTATTATGCCTACGTTATGTCCCCTTCATAAGTGGAAACCCCAGGGCTCGGTGTGACTGTCTGGAGGTAGGACCTTCAAAGAGGCGTTAAGATAGATGAGGTCACAGGGGTGAGGCCCTCATCCAGTGGGACTGGAGTCCTTACAACACGAAGCGACACCAGGATGCATGTGCACACATGGCAGACCATGTGGATGCCGAAGAGGGCAGCCATCTGCAAGCCAGGGAGAGTGGCCTTGGGAGACCAAGCCTGCCGACACCCTGACCTTGGACTTCCGGTCTCCAAGGTCATCTGTGTGTGCAATGTTAGAAAGCCCAGGTGGCAGCCGTGGAGGATGGACGGAGGGAAAGCAGGATAGGAAGAGGGCACATGGGAGCACACATGGGAGTTGGCAGCTGGGGTCTAGACAGGAAGCCATGAGGTGTCACCCAGGACCCCAGAGGGCCACGAGACCAGGGAACTGGTGTGGAGGTGCCGCGGGAAGGCCTGGGCCGCTAGGCAGTAGTGAAGGGAGGTAAGTCCCTGGGAGGTACCTGTCAAGAGGAGAGTGACTCCTTCCAGGTACAAGCATGGACCTGCCAGGGTCCCCACTAGGATTTCTTCCATGCCCACATTTCCACTCCGACTAGGAAGTGGGGGTGGGGTGGTCATTGTCCTGGAACTTCCTCTCTGGGAGGGTTGGCTCTTTGGGGCCCATTGTTCCCACACAAAAGGGCAGGGACAAGCCCTTGTTTGCAGCTTCTGGTGCCAGCAGGAGAGGCCGGTCTCCAGTCCTCCACTCCATGCCAGGCCTCCTGGCTCACCAGCGCTGAGAGGAGGGACGAGGTCTAATCACAAAAGAGGGCTTGATGGGCTGTGGGCAGGCGGGGCGAGGGCAGAGCCGGGGCAGCCGTGGGCTGGCACAGGCGTCCCCGCCAGAGCCGCACAGCTTCCTCTCCATCGTCCCAGCCTCCCCCTTCTGCCTTCCGGTCTCTCTCCCTCCCCCTGGCGTCTCCCACCTCCCTCACATCCTTGCACCCCTCGGCCCACAGAGCAGGTGTCCACCAGACACAGGCCCTTTCTCCCAGTAGCCCTGAGCCCTCCTCCGGCTCTTCTGCCCAGGGAGTTCCCCCTCTGGTGGGGTACCAAGGTACCCTGCCCCCGCTGTCTTAAGATGAGTCCTGGCCTACCTGCTAGCCCCCAGCCCCCAGCCCCCGCCTCCTTAGGATGTGCCTCTCCTGCATCCCAGAGCCCTAGGACCCTGCAAGGCAGCTGCTGGGGGTGCCGACTGCATGCAGCTGGCTGAGTGGTCTGATCTCATCTGGGCCCTGCTGCCTCTAGAACCTGCGGCTTAACATCTTCTTTGTCCTGTATCATCTGGGTGTTCTCAGGATCCTGGATCCAGCAGATGGGGACCTGGGGGCAGGGCCCACACTTTCTGTCTGCCCCACGTCCTCACCAGGCCGAGGGCCCTGGCTTTTCTAGGGCCGGCAGGTGCTGAGCCTCCTGGAGCCCAGGTGTTCCCAGGCTCCTGCCCCGTGCTCCGTCTCCTGGGCACCTGTGGTGCACCTGCCTCTCACCTGCTGCCACTGCTCTGCCCTGAGTTGAGCCAGGGTCTGACACCAAGTTCATCATTTTAAATGACACTGTCCCAAGGGAGAAAACCAGCCTTGAGAAAGCCACATTTGGCTAGGCGGTCAGGTGGATTGTGGCTCTCGCTCAGATGCGTCACTGTCGTTCCAAATCACAAACACAGCCGCGCCACCCACCCTGTCTTGTTTAATTAGCAAGAAGCAGCTGTTGCTGAGAGTCCGCCAGGCACAGGCTCCGTGAGGAGGAGTGGAGTGATGGGGCGCGCCTGCGCCTGCTCAGTGCTGCTCCCAGGGCTGCAACCTGGGCCCTGCGCGGAGGAAGTTTCTGTCCCTTGGGTTCTCTTTCTGCAGCACCTACGTGAGGACCTGGCGCAGGACTGCACCCCGGCCGCGGTGCCGTGAACAGGGGATGACCATTCTCAGCCTGGGGGGCTGCGCCTGCCACGGATGGGCTGGGCCCTGGCTGCTGGGATCCGCCAGGTAGGTTTCTTTTCCAAGCATGAAGAGGGTCACTCCTGTCCCTTTCCTGAGGGTGAATCTGAGTAACTCCCATGGTGTCCGGATGGCTGTCCTCTGTTTCCTGCCATCACCTGGGAAGGACAGAGGACCCACTACTGCAGATCACCCCTCTTCCATGGAGTGGGGGACCAAGGCTTGGGGATGCTAAGTCCCTTGCCCAAGGTGATGACGTGGGCCCTGGGCTCCTGCCTCCCTCTCTGCCTCAGGGGCCTGTGAGCACGGTGGCCCCGACTTGCCAGGGAGTCTTGGGAGTCCCACAAACCAAAGCAGAGGAGCCTTCTCCCAGGGGACACGGGTGAACTGTTCCATCAAGGGCATTTTATTCTCTGTCATGGGGTGAAGTTCATATGACATTAATAAACTGTTGAAAAGTGTGCACTTCAGTGACATTGGGCACAGCGTTGTGCCGCACCAGACCTGAAGAACGGTCTGAAAGAGTCCCATCAGCCCCAAAGGGCCAGCAGCAGCGGCCCCCCGCCCCTCCCTCAGCCCTGGCAGCCAGTCCTCTGCTCTCGGTGCCTGTGACATGGGCTTCTCTGGAGCATTTCACGTACCCAGGGCCACACACGAGGTGGCCTTTTGTGTCTGGCCATCTTCACTTAGTGGCACATTCTCAGGTTCCAGTCCTGTCGCAGCGGGGGGTCGGGCTGCCCACCCCCCGTGTGTCCTGTTCACAGTTGAATAGTTCTCCTTGGTCGGAGAGACCACATTGGTTCATCCAGGTTGACGGACACTTCAAAAAGCTTCTGTGAGAAGGTGTCACGTACTTGGGGCATCACATTCTGGACAGTGGCTCCACCTCAGCCTCGCCAAATGTCACTTCTGCCTGGGGGAGTCCATCTCACAGTCAGGAGATGTTCAGAGGAGGCACACAGGTCAGAAGAGGGTAAAGACCAGCAACTCAACAAGACTGCCCACTCTCTGTCCAGCCCCACCCCAGGGCCACCCGAGGCTGGGATGAGGACCCGCTCCTGGGCTGTGCTCCCTCTGTGGACAGGAAGTCAGGCCCTCGCGGCTGTCCCGGCCACAACCTGCTTGTTCTCCAGCTTTGGGTTTCCCTGGCTGTCTTCCCTCCTGTGCTTGCCATGTGCACAGGTCACTGGGACCCAGGGCGAGCCACCGTGTGACCGTGTGCTCCTGCGTGAGGGCTCTCAGGGTTCACGTAACTTAACTGCCACCCATCCCTGATACCTCGAGTTTTGCAAAAGAGAAAGATTTTTCACGGAGAGAACTTTATTCACGAGGAGGAGATGGGAGACCCAAGCCTCAGAGCCCCCTCCCTGGGGATAGGACCAGCGGAGTCTGCAGGTGGGTTTGTGGTGACGGTGTTCAGCTCATTGTGGGTGCGGTGGGTGGAGCCGCGGGGTCTACTCAGGCCCTGAGAGCTAGGGACTTTTGCAGGTCCCTTTGGTTTCAGTTGCATGAGATTTCTGGCTTGGGGTCAGTTTCCAGTAACTAGAGCTGTTAAGACTGCGACACTGATGATGATATCAATATCATAATTGCTGAATTGTAAAAAGCAGTACAAAAATGTGACTGGCTTGCTCTTGTCTGTGAGTGAATCTTCGGTTTCTCCGTTGGAGCTGAGCTGAGGAACCCAGGTCCTGCCTGGTCCAGAGCTGAGCTAAGTAGCCGGCCACCTGTGCCTCCCTGGCTACCAACCCAGCGTTCCCAGCCTCCCTGTCCAGGATGGAGCCCACGGATTCAGCCCAGATGCAGTCCTTCCCCAGTGCTGCCCACCCCACGCCCTAACCCCATATGGCTTTGAGGACAGGGCCAGCTACTCCGGTGTCACGGCCGGAGCCGCTTCCCATCTTGGATGCAAGGTCTGGCTGGTGCACAAGCTTCAGCAGAGCCTCTGATCAGAGTTCTGTGGACTTGAATATGCTTCCGACTCACCTGCCGTCTCATCAGACGCGGAGTCCGGCTGGCAGGCCTGGCGTGTGGCCGCGGTTCTTGTTCTTGGTTTTGAACAAGCTCCTGGGGAGCCACTGGCCCTCTGCCCGCCCTGGGGGTCACGAGGTCCCATGCCCATTACCCCCTGGCCTGGGCTGTGTGCACTAGCTCAGCCTCCATGGAACGTCCAGAAAGTCCCCAGCAGGACTTCCCCTCTGCCTCTGTGGCCTCAAAGCAGGGTTTTTTGGTCACGTTAGGAAGGGCACGAGGCAGCTGTGCCCAGCCTGGCTGACAGGGATGAGCTGTGGCCTTGCATCCTGATGGCCAGTGACCCAGGGCTGTCAAACACATTCCTCTGAGCCGGTGGGTGCCACTCTTGTCCCAGGTCACCGTCCAGGCTGCTGGGGGACTCACCCATCCATGTGACTGAGGTGCTCCGGGCACTTGGAGGAGGGGCGGGAACCTGGGCCTCTCTCCCCCTCTGCTTTCTGTCACCTGTAAACTGTTAGTGCTGGTAGTGTGACTCTGGGTGTCAAGTTACTGCCACATGGGCTGCACCATGCTGCAGGGGACAGGAAGGGGACTCACCCCCTCACCCCCCCTCCCGGGGGTGAGCTCCGTGAGCAGCACAGGTGCCGGTGTAGACGGGAGGGCAGTCCCCTTCTGAGTGCGCCCAGACATCTGGAATATTCTAAAAACAGAGGAGGACACGCACCCTGGTCCTGAGGGAGTGTGGGAGGGGGGCTGCTTCCTGCTGGCGGCCAGAGCCGAGGCCACTCCCTGTCACCCACGCTTGGGCGGTCAGCAGTCTCCGGGCCTTGGGACTCAGTGTCTTCCTGCTAATTTATGGGGCGACACGTTCCTCTAGGAAACGGGGCAGAGAGCCAGAGATCCCCTCTTGTACTGTTCCTTCCCCTTCAAGGGGGATGGAGCTTTCTCAGGAAGGAGTCAAATGCCCGCTGCCCGTTTATTCTGCAAGTGTCAGATGCAGCGTGGGGACAACTGAGAGGTGATGGGTCCCGGGAGACGTCCCCAAGGATGAGGGGCGAAGCCGTGAGTGGGTGACTTTAAAGACTGTTTCAAAGTCAGGGGTGTGGGGACCCCGAAGACCACCGCCTGAGGTGCTGGCCCGGCCCAGGGCAAGCTGAGCAGCCCCCTGGTGTCTCGTGGTTGGTGAGAAATGCAGAGACACCAAGTGGGGACCGGGAGGCTCCGTGGGCGTGGCCACCCCCAGGACCTGAGCCAAGAACCCCCACCAAGCCAGGGCTCTGCGTGCATGTGGCCTGCTGCTTCCCGAAGAGCCGCAGGGTCGGTGCCACGGTGCCAGGTACAGATGCAAAGACTGAGGCTCCTGCGCAGATGCGGTCCCAGAAAGCCACAGCATGGCCCCAGAGAGGGGCCACACTAGGCATGTGCTCCCCTGCACCTCCAGGCGGCTCTGAGCCAACGGGCCACGGTGCTGGGGCCCATTTTCAGGAAGGGCCATTTTTGGGGTATTAAAAACAGAGATATAGCCCCTAAAAAGGCTGCGTAAAGAAAAACACAGCAGGTGACCTTCCGGAAGCATCCTGTGGACTCCACGGGACTCGGGCCAGGGATCCAGCTGCTGTGGACAGCAGATGGTGATGACAGAGGACGGTGAGTCCAGCTCCTGCTTTCAAGCAGAATCAGGGCCGGCTGGCGGGTTTCCATTCACCAGTGTTTCCATAAGGTAAGACCTTGGCCTTGAAAAGATTTTATTAACTGGGCACATCCATCTTCTTCTGCTACCTTGCCCACATATTGAACGGATGGCAGATGTTTATTGAGTGTTTACTGTGTGCTGCACATTGTCGATTGTGTGCTTTGCATGTATTATCTCAGGACAAGCCCACGAGGCAGGTCCTGTCCTTAGCTAAACTGTATAGATGGGGATAAGGAGGACCAGAAAGGTTCTGTAACTTTTTCTTGATCACACAGCAAGGGAGTTTGGAGTCAGGACATGATCCCTGGTGAGCTTTTTTTTTTTTTTTTTGAACTTTTTATCACAGAAAATGATAAGTATATATAAAAGTAGAGAATTATATAATTAATCCCATATATCCATCACCTACTTTGAACAATTATGGACAATCTGACATTCTTGTTTTATTTTTTCCCTTCAGTTTAGTTATTGTTTTCTGGAGTATTTTAATCCTGGGTGTCACACCATTTTACCTGTAAATGCTTCAGTAAGCACATGTAACAAAGAAGGACTTCTCCTTTTTTTAATGTGATCCTTGTGCTGTTATCACACCCGTCCTTTAGCACCTGTTCTGGGTTTTCCATGATCTCCTTGAAAATGCCCCTTTTTAGTTGGTTTGTCTGAATCAGGAACAATCGCCCGACACCACACTCACCTGATGTTTTTTTTTTTTTAAAGATAGAGTGAGAGAGAGGAGAGAGAGAGAGAGAATTTTTAATATTTATTTTTTAGTTCTCGGTGGACACAACATCTTTGTTGGTATGTGGTGCTGAGGATCGAACCCGGGCCGCATGCATGCCAGGCGAGCGCGCTACCGCTTAAGCCACATCCCCAGCCCTCACCTGATGTTTTTCATCCTTCCATATTGCCTGCTTTTTACCCCTGGGTGGAATTGTCTGTAAAATTCTCCATTTTCTGGACTTTCTCTTTACGTCTTGGTGGTGTCATTTGACATGTTCCTGCAGTCCTCGTATTTCCTTGGAAGTGGGGAGGCGGCTTCGGTGCCCCTGCCTGCAGCCCCGCCTGTCATTGTTCCAAGGACACGAGGCCTGTCTGGAGGGACAGGTGGGGCCAGCCTGGGGTCCATCAAACCTCCACTCCTGTCCTTCATCTGCTTTATTTAGCCTCCGATGACTGTGGCCAGGGTCCACTGTCTCTGGGGATAGCCACAGGTGGGCCTTCCTCCTGGGGTCCTCTCTGCATTCATTAGCCTACACTCTTCCCCAGTGTCTGCTGCTTCCACCCCAGGCAGCTGGGCTCTGGACTTTGCCTGACCCACCTGGGCCTCTCGCCCTTCCACTGCACCCACAGCACCCACCCAAGGGTCCCGTCACAGGAGGCCTGGGGCAGGGCAGAGTCTGCCTTCTTGACAAGTAGACTAGACCCCCGGGCCTGGTGCCCTCCTCTGCCACCTCCCCGAGGGGGATAGCCTGTTCTACTGCTCACCTGCAGCTGGGCACCTCCCCGTGCAGTGGCAGAGACCGTGGTTTGAACCTTGCCTCTCAGATTTCTTCCCTGCTGAAACCTAGGTGTCAGGCTGTTGTTCAGACTATAAAGTGTTGGCATCGCTTAGAATTTCTTGAGAAAAGCTGACTCATTACATCCTACTGAAGGTGCAATTTCTGGTATTTTCTGTGTCAAAGTCGGATGGCCTGGTGGCGAGCCAGGGCCCGTGTCTGCTGCTGCTGCTGTGGACGACAGCTGTGTTCGGCCTCCAGACCCTCTTCTTTGGGGGCAGGAGCTCGGCACGGGCTCCGGAGCTGCCTCCCCAGGTGCTCTCCCGGCTCTCGTCTACGGGCGGGTCCTTCAGACCTCCTGCTCTGGTAGCTCAGTCCCGCAGTTCAGCAACTGGCCTTCAGGCCCGGAGAGCGCGCAGGAGGGACAGTCCAGAGCTGCGTGGAGCTGCCCTGGCACCTGCTCCTCGGTCTTTCCTTAACTGAGTAAAGCATCCTGGATGTTCGGCCTAAGTGGCCCAGAGTGGCTCAGAAGCCCAGCTGCAAGGGAGCCTGTGGCAGAGTCTCAGGGTGGTGAGGCCCACAGAGCAGCCCTGGAGCAGCAGAGAGAGCTCAGGAGGTCAGCTTTGTCACTCGATGTCGGTGTCATGATCACCCCGAGAGCCAGGGTAAACACGATGACCGGCAAGCAGTCCTCCTGGGGACTTCTGGGGGCCACACTTTCAGCCCCAGTCAGAGGGCTGCGTGGCTTTGCAGACTGACCTTGTCCTTATGAGACAGAGATGGCCAGAAGCCACCAGCATCAAGGACCAGGTCCCGAGAGGGGTGCCTGTCGCCCGACCTCCTGCCACACACGGACACCTGGGCTGTGACCACACCAAGGGACAGCAGCTGTGAGCTCAGCGAGGCCTGGGTCAGCAGAAGGGCCTGCTTGTTATATTCTGCGCAGGAGAGGAGAGATTTTTGACTGCAGAAGGTGGCAGGACGTTCACGCTCCTCAATTCCTAATGAGATAAATCAAAATGAAATAAATCAGGAAACAAACACACCAGAACAGCAATAGACCCCAGTAGAAATCAAACAAGTCATGACCTTTGTGTCTAGGAAAGTCATGACCTTGGGGGAAACCCCCAAATTCCTGAGTACAAGCCTCTCTCTCCCAGGAAGGACAGAGGGCTGAGGAAACCCAGAGCCTGCCGCCAACCCTCTTCATTCCAGGGAGAAATGGGTGCTCTAGAGAGAAGGCAGCCCCCAAGTCCAGGGGAAAGACCCCTGGGTTCCAGAGGGCCCCAAGAAAAACCTTGGTGCAGGGCGGAGGGGTGGCCAAGGCCTGGTGTGGTCCAGGGAGCTGAGACCCGCAGGTGCGAGACAGCTCTGGCTGGAGGAGGGGACCTGGTGATAGGACGGTCTGTGGCATCTGGAAAGAGAAAGCAGAACCCAAGCTTTCAAGAGAAGGCTGCTGGCCAGGCCCCCCTCCCCCATCTGGGTGTCCCCAGACCGTGGAGGTCAGTAAATCCACACCACCCTGTAGCCTGCAGGCATCCGGCCCCAGGTAACGGGAGAAGGGAGTGGAGGGAAATCCCCCCGACGGCTTCAGAGGAAATAGATGTGCACAGGGCCACACCCATTGCACTGAACAGGGCCGTAAGACACTGCGAGACAGTTGTGAAAGTTATAGAGAAGACAATAAATGAAAGACAGGAACATGGCTGGCAGAAAAAAAAAATAGATGTGCAGCCTGTCCTGGTGGAACTACCCATGAACGTTCTGGATACAAATTCAGGAAAATGAGACCTGAAGGGAGAGAGGAGGTGAAATAATACAATGAAATTTTAGAGCAAAGAAAACACATTAGGAGACTTTAAAAACAATGTCGATGATTTCTTTCAGAAATTATAAGTAAGGTGCCAGGTGCTGTGGCTCACACCTGTCATCTCAGGGACTCAGGAGGCTGAGGCAGGAGGATTGCAAGTTCAAGGCCAGCCTGGCAATTTAGAGAGACCCTGTCTCAAAATAAAAAGTGAAAAAGGGCTGAGGATGTGGCTTAGTGGTCCAATGTCCCTGGGTTCAATCCCCAGTACCCCAAACCAAACAAAAACACAAACAAACCCCGTGCTCCAGAAATTACAAGTAAGAGACTATAAAGATGCCACTGAAAAACCTAATTATTGACATGGGAGAATTGCTGAGATTAACGCACAAGAAAAGGCCAAGGTTGCAGTGTGGGGCTGGGGCTGGGGCTCAGTGGCAGAGCACTTGCCTGGCATGCGTGAGGCAGGCACTGGGTTCGATCCTCGGCACCACATAAAAATAAACAAATAAGTAAAGGTATTGTGTCCATCTATGACTAAAGAATATTAAAAAAAAAAAAAGATTGCAGTGGGTTCGAGGAAGCGACAGCTGCGAAGGTCAGAGGTGATCCAATATAAGGAGAGCTCATGTCTCTGAATCAGGGCCCGAGAAGGGAACTGAGAAAGGCTACATTCTGAGAGATTGTCAGAAATAAATGGCAAATCTTTAGATCAAAAGGGCACTGGGGGGGAAAATGGTTTGTAGTGATGGCTGTTAAGCTGCATCCTGTCGAGATATTGAACTTGGAGGGTAAACAAAGACTTCTTCAGACATCCAGGCAGGTAGAGCCTGCAAGAGGGGAAATGTCAGGTGTCTGAGGCTCGCTGGGGAGGACAATGGAGCAATGTCTAGAGGCTCTGGAGGAAGGAAAGCTGAAGCCAGAAATGTTAACCAGGGCAAGTGGTCGTTGGGCCCAGAGCAGCAGCCGGCCCTGGACAGGGACGGCTCGGGGACAGCGCAGGCAACCCCGAGGACGCATCCCAGGAAGAACTGCAAGACAGATTCACTTAGCAAGAGCTGGGCACGGGGCCAAAGGAGAGAGGCAAGAGCAGGACAAGCTAAGGGTTAACAAATCATAATTCAAACAAAAATTTCAAAATAACCTTAGCAACTTCAATCATGTCCTTATCCCAGAGTTGTTTTGTCTTTTCACCTTAAAGAATCTATTAGAACTGGTATTTCCTCTGGAAATAAAACATTTAGGGGCTAGGGATGTGGCTCAAGCGGTGGCACGCTCGTCTGGCATGCGTGCGGCCCGGGTTCGATCCTCAGCACCACATACCAACAAAGATGTTGTGTCCACCGAGAACTAAAAAATAAATATTAAAAAATTCTCTCTCTCTCTCTCTCTCTCTTAAAAGACCCTGTTTTCAAATAAAATATTTTAAAAAAAAACATTTATTTGAAGTTTAGAAAGTCTGCTTTTTTTTTAACCTTTCATGAAATCTAAATTCAAATTGATTGAATTAAATGTGAGAGGGGCTGGGGTTGTGACTCAGAGGGAGAGCACTCGCCTTGCACGCATGAGGCACTGGGTTCGGTCCTCAGCCCCACATAAAAAAATGAATAAATAAGGGCATTGTGTTCTGTCCATCTACACCGAAAAAATAGATATTAAAAAAAATAAAATAAAATAAAGATATTGTATCCGCCTATAACTAAAAAAATAAATATTTAAAAATA